ACACCTATAAGTTCTTTGTGGGAATCGAACCAACGACTTCTAGTTTAGCAGTCAGGGTCACCAACCACCAGACCAACAGGCCAGTCAGTATCTGAACGTTTGAGGTCCTGGACTTATTTTCTTCAGTAATAATGGTTCTTGCAGAAACAACCAGGCCATTAACTATGTATATGCCCTATAGTGATGAGCAAATTAAGTTCAGTTCACGCTATGCCCTTGCGTGCGTTGATAACCACTTCCCGTAGCGAAGACAAGGTAACAACACCTTGAACATACGCGTAATAATTATAACAAATTTATCAATAAATCGACATTTAATAGCAGTGAGACGTCACCTTAAATTTGCATATTTAAGGTGTCGTTTTATTTTTGCATATCTTTATATTGCACTTTTTGCCCCGCACAACCAATCTGTGGAACGGGTTATCGTCTGCGCTATTTCCGGACCGATACGACCTTCAAACCTTCAAGAAAAGAGCCTAAAAACCCCTTACTAAAAGGCCGGCAACGCGTTTGTGACTCTTGAGTTGCAGACGTTCATGGTCGGCGATTGTCGTTTGCCCCTCTAACATAAAATAAATAATATACTTTTTAATAAGATACACATACACATACATACACATTGTGTAGTTTTAAGTTAGAAGGCTGGAACATCCTGCTAACTTGGAGTTACCAGCAATGACTCCTATTTCTTTCCTTTTAACACGCTCTTATTAGCTTTACCTGTATGTACCTATGTAACGAAATCTTTGAACATGATTTTCACTCACTTCAAAACGTCGAATTGAATTGAAACTTCGCACACTTATGAAGAACCATCAGAACGACAGTACAATCAGTTTGTCCAATTATTCTGATCAGGATCTTCAGGATGATCAATTTGCTGTATCTGTACGGTAGTGTCTTGTGCCATGTACTAAGGCGTGTACTGAACCATATGTCACTTACTAATTTGTTGCTATTTTAGCTATTAAAGATGAAATTATCATCATTATAGAATAGAAAGTAAGAAACAATCTTCTATAATTTCATAAAGAAATACAGTCATTAAGAAAAAAAAACTTTTTTTTATCAACTATCAGAAGACCCGTCTTCGCATTTCCCCTAATGCTATATGCGTCCTGTGTTCTCTGCATCACCCTTTTTTTTTTTTTTTTTTTTTTTTCTTGCGGTACGAGTCTGACATACCACCTGTCGGTGGCATGTCGGACTCGAACCGACTAAAACCGCACGCCGTCGCCGGGTACTAATAGCCGGGGAACCAGGTATACCCTAGAAAGGAAGTCCCTGGTGCCCCGACATACCTCGGGTCATCTACAGACGAGTAGACGACCCCCCCCCCCGTGTGGGAACCCCATGTTCCCTGTGCTCCCTGGAAGCGAGCGCGCTTCGCAACGCGCTCGCCGCCACCCCGGCCTGCTTCTGCTAGGGTGACAGATGGCCTCACCTGTCACCCCCAGGCCTGCGCTTATGGAGGACGGAGGTCGTTCTGCGTCTCTGCATCACCCTAAGCTTGACTGGCAGATAATGCCCAAGGTATTAAGTCCGCCTCTGTTCTGTGTGCCTTTTCTCCCTAATCGTTCCCCCACTGCTGAGGATCGTGACTTCCTTTGATCCTGTCAACCATCGTTTGCAATCAGTCGCAAGCGCTGCAAGCGCCTTAAAATTAAATAAATATTTGAATTAACACATCGCGTCCCAAATTAATAACGTTCCGTACCTAAGCCTATGCGCTCCGCCTGCGTATAATAGTGTCTTTGTTGTAATCAATAAACAAAAGGCTTATCGATAGATTATAATTCTAACTATTACAATAGCATAGACAAACAAAAAAGCCATAAGCGTCCATGACTGGCATAAGAAACTGTAATTATCCCAAAAAAACCTTTGAAACAAATAACCCTGACCTAATATGTACATAAAATAATTGACACCATGATTTGAGCTAAATTACATAGTGTGGTATCATCGTTAATTGCATCGCGTTCAAGGTTCAATGCCCAGCTTATGTAATAATGTATTGAATGCGGTATCGAGCACTTATGTGAGCATCGTAAGGTTGCGTTTCGGTATGAGATGAACGGTGCTGTGAGCGATATGTTGTTTACAAAGTAGAGCGGTACGAAGATGTAATGACTGTTATATATACATATGTCATCACACATCAACAGCCTTTAATAGTCCACTGCTGGACATTCCCTGCTGGACGTTCCTCAGTGCTGAGGATCGTGATTCCCTTTCATTCTATCAACCATCTGATCCATCGGTTGCGTGTGTGTGTGTGATACTTATTGGCATCTCCAGCTGTTCTGCGATTTGTTCTGACCATTGTCTGGGACTTCTGCCTCTTTGTCTCTTCCTTTCTACCCCTTCTTTCGCCATCAATCGCTCTAGATTGTCATCATTTCGGCGAGCAACTGTCTTTTTAACCGTTTTCAAAAAAAGTAGAACTACGTTCGTTTGTTACTTCAGAATTCCGTCATTAGTCGCTAGTTCGGTCGCTAGCTCTTTTAATTTTAATGTAAACACAGGCCTAATTATGGTAATCGCCGAAAGCGTGGGATTAGAAGGTGATGAATGGTGATGATTGATCGATTCAATCACCGATTACTTATATTAAGATCATCCTTCATTTTGTAATGCGGGTCTGTGTGTTCATTATATCACTAATGTGGCAAACAGGCTCTCGCTTAATATTAAGCCGCCACCGTGCTAAATGCACGAAATTAGATAAATACTCAAGCTGATATTCTTGAAGGGGAAGACAGCCAACCATTGGATGGATAGTGAAACATAGGTATAAGAAGGGCATATCCATGTCCGTGTGGTGACGGATCAAGAATACGGAGTGTCTTCACCCCTATTCATCCGTGGGTGTCGTACGAGCCGACAAAGGGAGCAAACTACGCAGGACTCTCAGAAATGATGATAGCTACAACCCCCTTAACCCCCCCGGTAACCCTATATATTCCCTATATATGCCCTTCTTCATCAAGAGCTTCTAATGGTCCACTGCTGGACATAGGCCTCTCCTTAGAAAGGAGGCTTTGACCTACTATACCACGCTGGACAGACGGGTTGGTGTGGCTTTGTGTCAAGTTTTCTTTCTCTTTGCAGTGTTGTTGTGGAGGGAGCATTTAGCGGGAGGGAGCATTTAGTCTCAGGTAACCTCACTCACTCAGTGAAAGGCAACGAAAGAATTGCTTAACACCGGTTTTCTGTGAGGCCGTGGTATCACTCCGGTCGAGCCGGCCCATTCGTGCCGAAGCAAGGCTGTCCCACAATTTAGAAGAGGTATCTGGACAATTATTTTTTCGGACATCTGACACACAACGCCATCTAGTTTCAAACTAAGCAGAGCTTGTACTATAAAAGCTAGATTGACTGATCTAATACCTTTATACATATTTTTTTTTGTAAATACATTCATATTATAAATAGAAAACAACCAAACTCCGAATCAAAAATTTCCGACCCGGAATTCTAACCCGTGACCTCAGCCCAGCAGTCGCATACGCTACCAACTACACCACCGAGGCAGTCTAAGCGAAATTGCTTAAATAAATTTGTTGGCAATTTTCTATTTAATAGTTATGTTCATGACTGACCCGACCGGTCACAGACAGCCGGTGTTAAGTAACCTCTTAGTTACTTTTCACAGAGTGAGTAAAGTGTCTGCAGCAAAAATTCCCACTCTCCAGGTTCTGGGGGGAAGAGGGGGAAAACGAGCAGACGGAACTCAGGAGTCACAAGCGCGTTTCGGGCCTTTGAAAAAGAAGTGTGCTCTAACTTGAAGGTTTGTAGGTCGCATAGGTCCGGAAATACTGCAGATGAGAACCTGTTCGACATATTGTGACTGCACGGATGGCGTAGTGGTTTAAGCGGTCACCACGCCGCTTCCTACTACGTCGAGTGTTGTGAGTTCAAACCCCACATGGGACGACACTTTGTGCGATCCACAAATTGTTGTTCTGAGTCTGGGTGTTCTTTGTGTCCGTTTCATGTATGTTTGTAAAGTCCCCCGCGACACAGGATATATTCCTAATGCGGGAGTTGTCTTTTTTTTAAAATAAAGAAAAAAAAAATTGGTTGTGCGAGGCAAAAAGTGTCTTGAAAGCGCACATTGGTGGAGTGCCAATTATCCAACTGGTGGGGATGAACATTTTGAACTGTCAATGGATGGCGGAAAGTTGTGGAGGGCGGTAACTTTAAAACCATTGCTATAAAGTGCATGTGGAGAGCCTTTGGTTAGGATTATGTTAAGTAGTGGACGTCTTTCGGCTGTACCTAATGTTGATGGTGATGATAAGCGAGGCCTTGAGGAAAAAGTATAGTGGTGTGTCGGAATCGAACCGCCTAAACCACACTGTGATTCACCACGTATAAGTCTATTGCAAGGTCCCAAGTCGGGTATATTCTAGGAAGGAAGTCTTCGAGAACTTCGGTAGGCTTAGGCGCTATTAAGAGCCACACTATTAAAAATAATAAATATTTTATAATTGTGTAATAAAACATTTATTTCAAAAATCACAGAGATCGTATTTGTTCAACATATAGGTACAATTAAATACAATATCTACTGTTAGCAAACAACAATTTAATTGTAAAAAAATTGTAGACTACATTATGCAATAAAACTTAAACTAAAATCTTGTACAAACTAATATATGGTAACAGTCGGTAGTAAAATAATGTAATAAATAAAAGTTAAAACTTAAAAAATATATTAGGTTTATTTTTATGAAAAATAATTATGCATTTATTTAAAAAATAATCAAATGTAACAAAAAATAAATTAATACAAATACAAATACAAAAATGTAATTAGGGTTTAAGTGTATTTTTCATGGAAAAAAAAAATATTTTTAGTAAAATTAAATAAGATAAGATTTAATAAAAACAAGCAATACATTGGCACATTATTTAAAAAATATTTTAAGTACTTTAATCATTTGTTTTATCAAATATTAACTTAAATCTAACAATAAGTTACTTTATTATTAAACACTAAGAGTAGGAACGTTGAGATTTTTCGGCGGGTAACATGTTTGGTCAAGCAACGGTACGAAGCGCTGAAAGAAAAAAAAACTATTAAGTTTACACTATCACATTAGTGATGGATAAAATAAGGATACAGAAGACAATGATAAATAATTAATTGTGATAAACTGGATAGTGATAGCAGTGATAGTAATTTACTATCAACATCATCATTTAATCTATATGTTTTTAAATAAATATTCTTAAATTAAATAATTTAATATTGAGTATATTTTATGTGATTATTGTCTTTCAACAACTCACGGTGTGGTTATAGAAAGTAAATTTAAAAGTAGGTATGTAAAATCGTGGACCCCGTCAGGTACAAACACTGCGTGATTAGGAGTGAAGACAGAGAAAAAGGGGCTTCATATTTAAATGATCAGAAGGGCAATTCTTAAAATAAAAGTTCGGTCACAATTCAGTTCCGATCAACTCTCGATCTCACAACTGTCATAAAAGGTATTTTCGTCTTTATAATTGAGTTGTATATAAAATGTGATAGCGATGGTGATAACAGTGATAGTGATAACAGTGATAGTGATAACAGTGATTGTGATATCGCTTACCTTTATTCTACTTTGAGAGGGTACACGAAGGTATCGGCAACGTCTCTTCCATACATATTCTTGGCTACGCAACTGAAATTGCCCATGTCCGACCACCGCAAATTTCTCACAAGTAGGTCGCCAGATGGCAGCACCTGAAACATAGATTTGGATTAAACTAAAACATAAAATAATGGTTATTTAATTTAAGCGACTTAAAAATAAGGAGTGTATGTCATCACTTTATTAGAATCGACTCAGCGGTTTTGAAATAAGTTGCCGTAAAACAATAAAGATAGGACTTTGTTGACGTGTGCTGCCATCTAGTAGCATGTAGCGATACATATTAAAGAAATCTTGCAAAGGATTTGTTAAATTTGACTCTTATTCTGCCTTCTGATTTATGGGATATAATATCATCAACATGTTATGTGAGTTATTAGTTTATATAATAAATCGGTCTCACCTGTAACCTAGAGTTCCCATATATAAAGTTTTCTTCGTTATCCTGCCAAAAGATTTGAGAAGCAGTAAAGCTATGGACTCGGCAAGGTAAAACGACATCAGTGCCCATGTTTTGGAATATATTCTCCAAATAAGTAGTGATGATGGGCTTGGATGGCAGCCGGAACAGTTTTTGAAGAGTCACAAAGTTTTCTTCATTGTTTCCTGAAAGAATGGGCAAGTGTTGTGTATACTGCCATCTTGCGGTGAGTAGTAGTACCAAAATGGAAATAAGCAACAATGTTTTATATTGATATTTAGTGCCAACAAGGTTTTTTCAATCATAAAATGTGAGTGAATTCAAAAATATCACAATTATGAGTTCGTTTTCTGCAATAATTTGTTACTTTACTTCTGTGTGCACTATTTTAGTTCGTACAGTTGTCACAAGAGCTACTGATTTGGGCTTGAAATGGAGCTATCAGACTGTATTAGTATGCAAAAAATGATTACTTATGTAACCATGGCCTTATTCATAGAATAAGAAAGCTGCTTACTGGCTTTTTTTAAGCTAACGTACCAATTTTTTTATAAAAATAACTTTTTGACAAACTTTTTTTCCTCGGATCGTGAAATTTAATAAGCTCAGGGGTCCCTAAAATGAAAGCTGGTTTTATTGATAAGATTAGTTATTTTTTTCTGCTCTCGGGATAAAAAGGCAGCATGAGCATAATGGACGCCGATTAACAAGTAATTGTATGATATATAATGATTTTAATAAGTCAAAATGAAGAGGTAGGAAGCTCTATTACCTTCAACGGTGAGAACAGTAGTAGACGCAGTGTCCTGCTTGCCACGAGATGTCGCTACACACGTAAAGACATCGCCATTCGACGCCGCTGTCACAACTAGCTTGCTGATCAGAAATGCAATGCTTGATGGATGAACAGGAAGAATTTCGTTCGTATCGTCTTCATACTATAAATAGAGAGGGAGAGTATGAAAACAAAATAATGAGAGGCTTTTCAATTGTGTCTACAGCTAACGCCATCTAGCGAAAGTTAACGAACGACTTCCTTAATAATATTTATTTATATTTATTTATTTAATTTCACACACGACATTCCAAACTATGCAGAACCAGTACTATGATAACCAGACTGCTGATAAACATACTTATATTTTACTAAATACATTCATATTATAGATAAATTACACTCAGACACAGAACAAATGATCATGCTCTTCACAATATAATCCTGAGTGAGATCGAGCCCACGTCCTCTGGGGCTTAGCAGTCAGGGTCACTAACCATTAGACCAACTAGCCCCTCGAATAATACATTAATAAGTGATACATATTAGAATGAAGTTACGCGCTTTAGATAAAATACAGCAGGTTTATGCTCAGGTTTGAGTCAACTGGTTTCGTATGTTTCATCTTCATCATCATCAACAGCCTTTGAGTACCAAGCAACCAGCTTTGGTCAATCGGTCGTCCCCACTGCTCCTTCACAACAACGCGCGACCCCATACTGCGCAACAGACAGTCTCCAAGCGGCAAGAGCTGGGGTTGGAAGCTCTCCCTCATTCGCCATACTCACCAGACCTTGCACCTACCGACTATTACTTTTTCCAAAATTTAGACAACTTTTTAGTGGGTAAAAAATTCAATTGCCGAGAGGCAGTACAAAATGCATTTGAAGAGTTGGTTGCCTCCTGTCCAGCTGATTTTTACAAGAAGGGCATCAATAAACTGCCAATGCGTTGGCAAAGATGCGTCGATTGCATGGGTGATTACTTCGAATAACAGAAATAAAAAAGTTTGAAAAAATAAGTACTTTCACTTATTGCATACAAAACGGCAATTTCATAGGTAAAGACCTATTATTTTGACAGTGTGAATATTTTTATTTAATAGTAGCTGGTACCTGCTACTTAGTTCGCGTGGAATTTGAAAAACGATGCCTTAGTGGGTTCGATTCCCGGGCCGGGCAATATTTTATAAGTTTCACTTCTGCCGTGTGTGAATTGTAACACCTATTTTTTTTATTTATTTATCGTGTCAGTTTCGTTCCTCATTTCTCATTAATGCGACCATTTATGATACATCTAGTAATACGTAATAATCAAAACATATCTAGCAATTTCTATCGACAGAATAATGAAAATAAAACTCTTCGATTCTTACGTCAACGGCAGGTTCCCCATTCTTCAGCCATTGTACACTTGGCAAGGGTCTGCCCATCACCTCACACGTGAGGACCAATCTCTGTCCAGGTTCCAGCTTGACGGTCGGAGGAGGGGCTTCTTTGATGCGTACCACGTTGCCGAGGCGACGGCGCGGAGTGGGAACCACTAAAAAGAAAGTAGGTTGTTTTGAATCTCGATGAACCATAAATAATTATACCAACAGCCTTTAATAGTCCACTGCTGGACATAGGCCTGTCCTTAGAAAGGAGGTTTTGGCTTACTATACCACGCTGGCCAGACGGGTTGGTATAGGGTTTGTTTCGAGTTTTCCTTCTCTTTGCAGTGCTGTTGTCCTGCATAGTTTGTTCCCTTAGTCTGCTTTTACGACACCCACGGGATGAATTGGGATGGTGACACTCCGTATTCTTAATCCGTCACCACACGGACAAAGCGCTGTAGTCATTTTTAACGAAAATACCAAGTTTATTGTTAATTGTTTTTACATTGATATCGGTTAAAATCACAACTATATCATAAAATAAAGGCGTATTCAAATATTTATTCACTTTGACTTGAAGGTCTTTGCTGACACAATTATTTATTTTAAAGCATAAATACACTTCGCTTAAATCCCTCAAATGGGCTGCTCAACTGGAGTGATCCTACGACCTCACAGAAAACCGCTGTCCAGCAATTCTGCTGTGGAAAAGAGTGAGTGATATACCGGTACTCAAACCTTTTCTTCCCCTGATTCTTGAGGCTCAAAAGGACTTCTAGGTTGTAGTTGTACATGGGCGGCGATAGTGACTTTCCATCAGGTGACCCGTATGCTCGTTTCATCAACTCTCTCTCTTCTCAATCAGAATTGAGAACAGTTTCCCTTTTTTAAAGTTCGTTATAAACTACAGAGTAAAACTCGACTCGGGATAATCTCCTTATCATCTATACGTTTGTTTATTTGTTTGTTACGTTTTCACGCCTAAACCACTAAACTGATTTTAAAAATTACTTCATCAACTTCACTTTTTACGGTAATGACGGCGCGAGAGCCGAGGAGAAAAGCTAGTTCTAAGCAAAACTAAAGAAAAAATGGATTCACTTTTAAGGGTAGACTAGGCATTGAAATGAAATCTAGATAAAATATAGGTACTGTTGTAGTAGACCGTTCCGTGTGGTGACGGATTAAGAATACAGAGTGTCACCACCCCTATTCATCTCGAGGGTGTCGTAAGAGCCGACTAAGGAAGCAAACTACGCAGAAAGACAACGCTGCAGAGAGTCACAAGTTGACACAAACCCTATACCAGAGTCACAAGTTGACACAAACCCTATACCAACCCGTCTGGCCAGCGTGGTATAGTAGGCCAAAACCTCCTTTCTAAGGAGAGGCCTATGTCCAGCAGTGGACTATTAAAGGCTGTTGATGTGATGATGTGATGTGTAGTAGACATGCTAATATCCCGACTGGCGATTGTATTTTATAAATTCTAATCTGTCATTTTGAACTACACAAATGTACGAGATTTTCTGTATCGCAATTATGAATAAAATTGACTTTTAATGAGCTTTTCTCAGTAAAAATTCTGTTCGTTTAAAATTTAGTACCCATTTAATATTTATTTTCATTAGAGGTGCAAATCGAGGTAATTTTTTTTACATTAAACTAATTATGCAGTCTGCAGATCTTTTTTTAACTTCGCAAAAATCTTTGAGGCTCTGAAAATTGTTATTTTCATTTTCAAACAATTATTTTTTGTGAATATACAGAAAAGATCTTTTCAGACACATCACTTCTATCAAATCTTTATGGCCTCTGGTTTTCGATTACCATACTCAGAAATGACCAAGTGACCTATAGGCGTCTACGATGGTATTTATATAAAAAAGCATTTCAATTTTGAGCAATCCTGACGTTAAGAAGATTAGACAACCACACCTTAAGGACTCCACTACTCTCACCAGTTTATCACCTCAGTAAGACATTTCTGTAGCCAATTCAAGATACTCAAAATCGCTTGACAATTTTCTGACCCTGCAATTGTAATTACCACCCCCAATACATCCACCTTTCAATAACATTCACAAACAAAATGATGATAAAAAAATGAAGAAACAAAGAACAGAGGAGTCGAACCGGTTTAAAAATTCTTTATCCAATTCCAGAAAATAAAATGCATGAAGACGACGGGCAAATCATGAATTTTAAAACGTTGAGAATATTTTAATAAGGAATTCGTTGAAACGGGCGATGATTTCATCCTTGCCGTTGAATTATGACCCGTTTTCAGTTTAATTCTGTCTCCGGAATAAGGACGCAGTGTCATTTATATGCAATGTTGGGGTTTACTTACGAATATACTATTTTTGAAGTGAAAACTTCTTTGGCAGCGTTGAGCGATTTTTGGTAGGGAAAAAACTTGTGGGTTCGCGTCACCGATGACCGCCATTCTCGTGACGTATAGAGCCAGAATAGCGACGCGGACGTCTAGTTGATCATCATCATCATCATCAACAGCCTTTAATAGTCCACTGCTGGACATAGGCCTCCCCTTAGAAACGAGGTTTTGGCCTACTATACCACGCTGGCCAGACGGGTGGGTATAGGGTTTGTTTCAAGTTTTCCTTCTCTCTGCAGTGTTGTTGTCCTGCGTAGTTTTCTCCCCTAGTCGCCTCTTACGACACCCACGGGATGAATAGGGGTGGTGACACTCTGTATTCTTAATCCGTCACCACACGGACATCTAGTTGATAGTTCCATTGTTTTGAGTTTTCAGTTCTGTCGGCAGCCCTTATGACTGACTCTGTTTATTTTAAGTAATGGGGTCCAAATCAGGCCTTTCTGAGTGCAAGTGATTATTATCGGTGGCCGTGGACACCTTCAGATGAAGTGCGTCAGAGAGAGAGAGAGAGAGAGAGAGCGAGCAGAGGGGGAGGTTTGTCTCTTACTTAAATCGTTAATCTAAGAGTTTAACAGAAATATTAGATTACGTTATTTAAATTTAAAACTGGAGGAGAGGAGGGGAGTGTAAGGAATGACGTCACAAGAATGTGTTTCGTATAACATATTAGGACGTTTAATATAGAGAAACTCTTTTGACTAAGCAGTCAATTACTAATGAAACGTCAACTCGCATGATGTCAAAAACATGACATGTTCATGTTTTTGATGTATTGATCATTGAAAAAATAAAATAAAGTGAAACAAAACTAGTAAATTTAGTAAAAACTTACACATTTGTACAAAAAACTAATTCTTTAGAATTAAGGATAAGTAACTTACCATTAGTAACTTATTTAGAAGGAAAACTTGAAACAAACCCTATACCAACCCGTCTGGCCAGCGTGGTATAGTAGGCCAAAACCTCCTTTCTAAGGAGAGGCCTATGTCCAGCAGTGGACTAGTATAGGCTGTTGATGATGAGGTTGATGAACTTACCATTGGGTTGTAAATTGTTATCTAAAACGTTTCTGTCTAGTGCACTCGCTGCAACAGTGCACTGCACCGACACCAAAATGGCGACAAGAAGTGAAAGTGAGTTCAACATTGTTGCTATTGGATAACAGATGGCGCTAGTTGAGTATTTGGTTGCAGACTGAAACAAACAAAAAAGCTAATATTAGTATCGACATATTTAAAAATACACTTTATTCTTTAAATTCATTGAGTTATACAATATATTTCACATATAAACATAAGATAATCATTTTAATTTATATAAATATGTAAGTAATATTTATTGATAATCGTATTAACAAAGAATTAGTATTAATTTAGATATCTTTGTATTAAACCTACTAACATGTATTAAGATTAAATTTGTCTGTATATGTCCAACGTGGGCGAAAAATATACAGAAACAATGTCTATAAATAACTAAGTATTATATAATAATCTTAACCCATAAAGGAGCAGTAAAAATTATCTGTTACGTGAAGGTTCCTTAAGCTGGAGGAATAGTAACTAATCCTTGAAATATGGCTGTATTTCTGTGCAGTGGGATAAGAATGGCGCGTGGATAATATTTATAGCGAGCAAATGTAATAATATTAAATGCAATTGTAATGTAATTTGATACATATTAAAAAGGCGGGCAACTGCAGTTCTTATTTTAAAATATATATTTTTTTTAATTTTTAAATAAGAAAGAACTTTCGACCGTTTTATGTTCTTGGTATTTGCTTTTATTAAATACTTATTTGTGGTTAATAGGACGTTTTTACCGTGTATATACTCATAGTAGATATAATAAAAAACACGTAAAAAAACGTTATGTATAACATAAAAAATAATAAGATATCGATAATCGTCCGTGTGGTGACGGATTAAGAATACAGATTGTCACCACCCCTATTCATCCCGTGGGTGTTGTAAGAGTCAACTAAGGGAAAAAACTACGCAGAACAACAACAGTGCAGAGCGAAGGCAAACTTGACACAAACCCTATACCAACCCGTCTGGCCAGCGTGGTATAGTAGGCCAAAACCTCCTTTCTAAGGAGAGGCTTATGTCCAGCAGTGGACCATTAAAGGCTGTTGATGATGATGATGAAATAATAAGAAGGAATCTGTAAGCCCTGGATCGCCCAGGGTTTGTCGTGCTACTGGTACCCTTGACGGCGTGCGGGTTTTAGTCGGTTCGAGTCCACCCCGAGAGGGGTATGCGAGGGGATTTCGGGGTAACATTAAACGTTTTATGCAATCAGCTATCAAAAGTTAAGGTCATTCCTCGCACAAAAGTAATAACTATTCATATTACGTGCAAACAGTCTACGCACACACACAAAGTTGACAGCCGTGGGGAAGCCCCGCGCGCTTCGGTTGTTTGATTAATTACTTCGCCAGTTGATGACCGTATGCGGTATTTACTATCGGTAAAATACTTATAAAAAAAAATATGAATTTTCAGGCTGATTTGAATAATATTCTGAATATACTATTTAAGTATTCGTTACACCGTCTCATACACCCTGTATAGAAACACCCATACTAATAGTAATTAGTATGGGTGTTTCTATACAGGGCGTCTAGTAAGACGTATTCATCTTTGACGTAATGTCGAACTCTCTACGATCGTACATTGGTTATCAAATTATTATATATGGTAGATATTCCTTAAATTAGATTAAATTTAATACAAAAAAGTCGAATTCTCTGTTTTCTCTTGCACCTACAGCATCATTTTTCTACATCACCCGAAGGCTGACTGGCAGAGAATGCCCTGGGCATTAGGTAAGTCCGCCTGTGTACAACTTGTGCATTAAGTAAAATAAATAAAAAAAAAAACCCGATATATTCAAGGACATCTATGAGTAATCTTAATATGAATAAAATTCCACAAATCTCGGAAAAAAAAGAAGATATTACGAGATATTAGAATTGGCACTATATTCGGCTACTTCTGTCCCACGCTCTGAGCGGATGGGAACGAGACCGAAAATATGTAGCAACTCTTTTCCAACACTTCCAAACTTCGTTCCTTCCGGAGATCCATAAACCTCTCGCGCCGTTTTATTATTATTACAATACAATCGATTGCACATTGAATTGACTGCACGGATGGCGTAGTGGTTTAAGCGGTCGCCACGCCGCTTCCTACTACGTCGACTGTTGTGGGTTCAAACCCCACATGGGACGACACTTTGTGTGATCCACAAATTGTTGTTCTGAGTCTGGGTGTTCTTTGTGTCCGTTTCATGTATGTTTGTAAAGTCCCCCGCGACACAGGATATATTCCTAATACGGGAGTTGTCTTTATAAAAAAAAAAAAAAAAAAAAACGATACAATCCCGTACATATAAGTAAAGTCCGGCTTAACACCGTGTACGCAAAACGCTACTTTTGTTACTTAGGACCATACTTATACAACAAAATTAATAAAATCTTGTCAATTTATGAAATGCAAAAAATAAAATGTAAGATGAAATTAACCGCTTGGCTCTCAGATCTAAGTAACGACGAGACTGAAAAGATGCTTGCTGTCTTAGCATAAACATAGGTACATCACGATCCTACACCCACTATTATAAACACACACACTCACAAACCTACACACTATAATAATACACATATAATAATACACACACACACACACTATAATAATAGTTCGACCACAACTAATTGTCAAAGCGCTGATACTAACAGATATGTATACAATTAAGGAGGGGACCCGAAACACAGGCTCTGAGCCTACCTTAGGCACCAGTCTCCCACAGTATAATTTTTTTATAATAATTCTTATACAGGCTAAAATTATGTATAAATGTATTGTGGCGAGAAAATAAACAATTTATTATTGTTATTTATTATTACAATCGCCGAGTTATGAATGCCTCGTAGAGTAAGTTAAGCTGTGGGTCCCGGTTGCTATTCCAACATCTGGGGCAATAGTTACGGGTACTTGGAGTCTTAAAAAGTCCGACAGTTTTTCTACAGAACTTCGATATCGCCTAGTACTTTGGTTGTGGAGATCTGATGGCAGTCGTTTCGTATGTAAAAAAGTACAGCCGTATCTTAGACTTAAATCCGACCCCTACCTAGTTTGGGACAAAAGGCTCAGAAGAAAGAAGTTATAAATATGATTCCAGAAGAAAAAGAATGGTAAAAAGCACAATCTTGAAGAATATTAGAGATCTAAGGTCTATTTTAAATCCTACTGTACAAAGATATAGTTGCAGTTCAGTACTCTCTATCAAATTTAGATCTATAGAAAGAGATCTAGAGAGGAGAGAGGCAGAGTAAATATCGCAGTACTTATACGAAAAAAATTAACATCTTTTTTTGTGTGAATCTTTTCGGATAATCTAAAACGTGTGAGACGATTTTCACGGCACTTTTACTATGCTTGCGTATTTAGTAACGTCACTACGTTAAACCGTGTTTATGCTTAGAGTACAGCACATTTCTGCTCGGATTGGCGTCGCCCGATATGTCAATAGACCACGGGTTGGCCTGATACTATTCTATCGCAATACTATAAAAGATTACAGACCTATTTAATACGTTAGTAGTAAAAAGATATAGTTACATTTCTGTTTGAACATTTAGGAAAGTTGGAAAAAAATTGTCACACTTTGCATTTAATATTTTATTTTATGTTATTTATGGAGCTTACAGCAACAGTACAAGGCAATTAAGCCTAAAATGTATTAAATAATATAAAATATCTCACACATCTCACACACGGCCGTCTGATCCCAAACTAGGCAGAATCTGTGCTATGGTAACCAGACTGCTGATAAACATACTTATATATTTTCTAAATACATACATATTTTAGATAAATTACACCCAGACACAGAACAAATGACCGTGCTCATCACACAATATTTGTTCTGGGTGGAATCGAACCCACAACCTCTGATTTAGCAGTCAGGGTCACTAACCACTAGACCAACAGGCCCGTCATAAATGGAAGCAAATTTAGTTAAAACACCTAGGTTTAGACATGCGAGTAATTTAATGTAGTACCTACTCCCTATGTACTCCTTTCTAAGGAGAGGCCTATGTCCAGCAGTGGACTGTTATAGGCTGTTGATGATGATGATGATGACTCCCTATGTGTTGATTGTATAGGCTTATAACTACGATAAAAGAATTTTGATTTTTTTTAGGGTTACCTCAAAAGGTAAAAAAGGAACCCTTATAAGATCACTTTCTTGTCCGTCTGTCCGTGTGTAACCACCGATTTTCTCAGGAACGGGTAGACCTAGCAAGTTGAAATTTATTCGGCTATTCTTTCTAAAGTCGGTGTGACTCGGAGGAAGATCACGCAACCTTCTAACGGGTGTTCTTAACCGAGTAGATAGGGGATCTAAGACTGAGTAGAAAGGTCTGAAATATTCCGCCTAACGTACAAAGGTAGGAGATTTAACGTTACACGGCTCATCTGTTACATTGACCAAGTGGTAAAATTTTAATTTAAAATATAAGTATATAATAAATAAATATTATATACTATAGTCCATCAACGTCGTGCGCGACCGTCCTGCGGAGTGACAGACGGTGGCGGGGACGAGGTACTCAAGATGTCAGCGGGTAGTGGGTGGTGTAGCGGGGAAGGGAATCGTGTGTAGCCGTGTGCTAGAATGACGAGCTACCTCGCCCCCGCCACTGTCTGTCACCCCGCGGGACGGTCGCGCACGAGATTGCCGGGTTATAGTAACCCGAACGGCTTCGTACATCATTTTTACGGTGGGTAATTTATATTTAGGATTTACTTGTAAAATATTGTTAATTCTATGTAAAGAAAAACTGACTTTGATTATATTACATAGGGGAGAGTAACCAATATTGAACCGCAGCCTTTAAGAGTCCACTGCTGGACATAGGCCTCTCCTTAGAAAGGAGGTTTTGGCCTACTATACCACGCTGGTCAGAAGGGTTGGTATAGGGATTGTATCAAGTTTTCCTTCTTTTTGCAGTGCTGGTGTCCTGCGTAGTTTTGCGCCCTTAGTCGCCTCTTACGACACCCACCCATTCTTAATCCGTTACTACACGGACATTGGTATAGTATACATACATTTGGTATAGTATATTGGAGCAAAAA